TTAGGGCTGTTGTACATAGGGTCGCTATGAGTCGCAGGCGACTCGACGGCACATAACAACAACAACAACAACATTGTTTTGCATATATAGAAAATATGCTTCTTGGCTGTTTGGGAAAACTTCAAGAGAGCTGACAGACACCTAGAGAATATAGCCTCTTTCAGCACAGGAGACAGGTCTTATATAAGAGTCAGTGATCAAGCGTCCTGCTGTTAGGTGCTGTGGAGTATGACTTATAGCGACCCCATGAACAACAGAGCTGAACTCTGTCCTCTTCTGTGCCATCCTCATCATTTCTGACATACTTGAACTCACTGAGGCAGTCAGTCACCAGTGTTAATCCATCCCATTGAGGGTCTTCTTTTCTGTTGCCAATTATCTACTTTTCCAAGCATGGTGCCCCTCTCCAAAGAAGAAAGAAGTCTTTCCTAATAATATGCTCAAATTATGTGAGATGAAGTTTTGCCTCCAAAGAGCACTCTGGCTGCCCCCTCTCCAAGACATATCTGTTTGTTCTCCTGGCCTTCGATGGGATGTTCAGTGCTCTTCTCCAACATCACAACTCAAAGGTGTCAATAATTCTTCCGTCATCCTTATTCTTCGTCCAGCTCTCAGATGCGTAGCAAGTAATTGGAAAAACCATGGCCTGAATCAAAAGCACATTAGTCCTCAAATTAACATCATCACTCCTCAATAATTTGGAGAGGTCTCTAACTGCAGATTTTCCCAATGCAAAGCCTCTCCTTGTTTCCTGAAGGCGAGTACAAAGGTGTTAATTGTGGATTCAAGTAAAAGGAAGTTGTTTACAGTTTCATTCTCCATCTATCATGATGTTGCCTATACTTCCAATGGTGAGAATTTCTGTTTTCTTGACATTGAGGTGTAATCCAAATTGAAGGCTGTCATCTTTGATTTTCATCAGCAAGCATTTCAAGTCTTCTTCACTTTTAGCAAGCAAAGTTATATCATCTGCATAAAGCAGGTTACTGATAAAAGTCCCTCCAATCCTCATGCCACATTCCTCTTCAGAGTCCAGCTTCTCAAATAATTTGCTCAGCACAGAGATTAAATAGGTATGAAGAGAGAATATAACCTTGAAGCACTCTCTTCTTAATTTTAAACCATGCATTGTGAAAATCTGCTGTTGGGGACCTTTTTAATGTGAGGATATCTGTTTAAAGAATAAAGAAAACCTACTCAAAACCATGGTCTTTTCAGTCATTTGCTGTGCATCTGGAAGTTAGATAGTGAGTCAGGGTGACAGAAGAATAACTGATGCCTTGAGCTCTGGTGTTGGAGAAGAATGCTGAATGTCTCAACAAACAGATACACATTGTAGAGTGCAGCCAGAGTGCTCCTTGGAGACACAGATGCTACTCTTTGGGCATACTGTTAAGAAGGGCAAGACCTTGAAAGAGGACATCATGCTGGGGAAGGTGGAGGGTACAGAAGGAGGGAAAGCCCTTCAATGAGATGGACTGATACAGTGACTGTAACAATGGGCTCGAGTATAGCAGGGATGAGGAGGAGGAGGGTACAAGACAGGGCAGGACTCAGATCTGCTAGTCATAGGGTTGCTACAAGCTGTAGTCCACTCAGTGGCTGCTGACAACATATGTTGGTAATTGTTGAAGTTCAACGTGTGGGAGTTAGTAATACTGTTTACTCTGCTTTTGTAATGTTGTTAGGAGCCATCACGGTGGCTAAGAATCACAGTCACCATGTGACTAGAGAATAACTAGAGAAACTAGAGAGAGTAACGAGAGAATGTAACACCGCCTAGTACTGCCATATTCTCAACATCTGCTGCTGAGCTTAGGCCCACTGTTGCAGAGCACTGTATCAGACAACGCACCACTGCTATTCATAAGGTCTTCAGTGGCCAATTATTTCAGAAGTGGCTGCTCCATCCTGCTTCTTCATCTATCTTACTCAAGGACCTCTCCAAATTATTGAGGAGTAATGTCATCATTTTGAGGACTAAACTGCATCTGATTTAGGTGATGGTCTTTTCAGTCATTAGTTATGCATCTGAGAGCTGGACAATGACTAGGATGACAGGGGAAAAAAAGGGACGTCTTTGTGGTGTTGGGAGAAGAATGCTGAATATCCCAATAACTGCCAAAAGAACAAACTGATGTATCGTGGAGAAGGTGCAGCCAGAGCTTGGAGGCAAAGATGATGAAGCTTCATCTCACATACTTTGGACATGTTGCTAGGAGAGGTTATTCCTTGGAGAAAGACATCATGCTTGGAAAGGTGGAGGATGGCAAAGGACAGAAAGACCCTCAAACAGGTGGATTAGCAAGATGACTTACAGCAATGGGATTGAGTGTGTCAGAGATTGTGAGGAGGCACACGATAGGACAGTGTTCAGGTTGGTTTATTTTTTTTT